CACAAAGAGGGAAAGAGGGACAAAAACAAGGGGACGTTGAACCCCGCTTGCACTCACTACACTCAAAAAACAAATTGTTGGATTTTCTTAACTCACATCAACAATGTCCACTTAACTGAGTTGATTAAGTCCAACATAACTTTCACAATTGATTTCAATGTAATTGTGCAAATTGCTTTAGATTTTTTTCAACTCAGTTAGTTTAGTGGAAGTTGTTGACATAACTTGGTTAAATAAATCCAACAATCTGTTTTTTGAGTGTACATACACATAACACAACACCTAAGAATTACAGCATCCAAACCAATAAGTCAGGTGATGGGGCATGTCCTCTATGAACAATAGAGCTGATCAAGCCTATTGTTAGGCGATAGCCCTCTTTTGCATGTGACTAACCTGTTTGTCCAGGTGGAGGCAGTGCTTATACGGCTGAGTTCACCTGAAACTCATCAGACTGAAGAAGTCTCTTGGAGGAGAGACTAAATGTTTCACTAAAGAAGAACCCATCCAGAGGACCTACTGATTTTTTTCTTTTTGATTTTTTTCTACCTGGATTACTGAGATGCATCAGGACAATTCATATACAGCTCCAACTGCACATTACGAATGACTTTTGGTATTTCAGGAATTTATACTTCTTGAGATATTTAGCATTTTTTTCATTTTTGCTCTCATCCTTTAAAATAGTTAAACCTTTAAAGCCCTTCTTGTTTCACCAGTATTAGTGTTTTAGCTATATTTCTGCTAATTACACTCTTTTGTGCTTCTATCAGCTTCTTCCCACCAGTTTAAGCTTTTTATACTTCTTTCAGTTGTTTTGAGAAATTTAAGCTAACTTTAGCTATTTTCAACCAATTTTCAGCTAAATTCACCTTTTTGTGATACTTTTTCTTTCAGCTGCTTAATTCAGCAAAGGTGCTTCTTTGTACTAGATTCAGATTTTTTAGCTACTTTTTTTCAACCTTTCTGCTAATTTCAGTTTGTGTCTATTTTTTTTTATCACAAATTGCCAATTTGCTGTACATTTTTCCTTTTTTTCAGCAAAAATGTTTCAGCATTAAGCACAGAAAATGTTAATTCTTTAGTTATCTCATTGCTCTTGCACCTCTCACCTGTGTATTACTGTACATTGGTAATGGCTTGCTGGAGGGTGCAAGCAGCGGCGGGGCTATGGGTGGAGTAGGGCGGCAGGCCGTTTGTGTACACTGTCTCCACGGCAGGGTGTCCGCTGGGCAATGTAAACCACTTTTTAAGTAATTTTCAGCTATTTTTAGCTCTTTTTGTGATAATTTAGCTATGTTTTGCAACTGCTTAATTCTGCAAATGTGTTTTTTTGCAAGATTCATTTTTTAAGCAATTCTTTTAGCAACTTTTCTACTAATTTTAGCTTGTTTTGCTACTTTCCAACAAATTACAAACATTTTGTGCATCTTTTTTTTCTGCAAAAAATGGTTCAGGATTAAGAATTCATGGTCCATTTTCGTGGAAAATGCCAACTCTTGTCATCTCATAGCTCTTGCAGCACCTCTCACCTGTGTATTGCTGTACACCGGTAAAGGCTTGCTGGAGGGTGTCAGCAGCGGTGGGGCTCTGGGTGGAATAGGGCGGCAGGCCGTTTGTGTACACCGTCTCCACAGCAGGGTGTCCGTTGGGCTGATGAGGGATGCCAGTGAAGCCATTGACGATGGGCGTGACGATGCTGGGAACAGCGGAGGTGGTAATGCTGGCTGGTGGAGAGCTGAGGCCTGCTGGAAGGAAGGTTCAGCGTTACTGCATCAGGAGCACAGCGTCTGCGTGAACTTGTGTGACACAGACACACACAAAATAGTTTAAATGCACAAATCTGCATGCAACCACACACCGACTGACGCACATTACGCACACAACAAGATTTACTGCACCCTCTGTCTAATGCAAGGACACGTGTGGGACGTGAGTCTGTCACATATCTGCCGTTTGTCGGAACACATCCTGCTGAATAGCTTGGAAGTCAACCTGTGAAAAATGACCCTGTSTGTTGTGTTTGTGCGATATCCTGCTGGCTCCTATTGCTCAAGATGATGAAACCACTATGCAACTTCAGAGGGGGAAATAAATGGGGGGAAAAAAGGGAAAAAAATGATCTGGTCTAGATAGAAGCAGATTACAGAGGGAGATTGGCCTGAATGAGCAGGTGTTGCTCGTATTCAAAGAAGCCTCTTACTTTAAAAAAACCACAACAAGCCAAAACAACAACAGTTGGCAGTTTGACAAATGGCTGGCTCACAACATATATGGGACATGCTTGACAGGCTGCTGCAGAAAGGTTCATGAGTGGAATCGAAATCGGACGCATCCCATTTTCTTCCATTCAGCGCATTTTAAACCAACTCCCGGTTGGGAAGTGCCTCTAATTATGCCGGCAATTTTGAAGTGCCCGTTCTGAGCAGAATCTCACTTTGTGATGGTCTCCATAAAAGGGTCTTCTCTGCAGCAAAAGCCTCCGTGTCAGTTAAAGTACGGCTCTCTAGAGGACCACTTCTTAATCTTGAAAGCCTGATTGGACAGGCAACCCGGGTTGTCAGGGAAACCCGTAAACATGTCATATCCCCACAATCTGTTACTGCAGTGAGGACCCTGCTGTGAGTGGCAGTTTAGAGATGCTAAACAATCAAAACATGCGCTAGGATGGGCTATAAAAAAGCTGGACAAATACACACTTTAATCAGACTACATGTGTGGGCTTCTTATTCTCTACACTTGATTTCCTGTATTCTTTGCTCTCCTCTGCTCCTTATCTTTCTTTTTCAGCATATAAACCTTTGAGAAGGCTGACAGTTGCTCAAACAACTGAGGTGACCAGGGGAATTGCTCCAGTCCAGCGAGAGCTGTTGTGTCTTTTGCACAGGTTTTCTTCCTTTTCTTTTATTTCCTTCTTCATCTTTTTGTTTTAAGAGGACTGCGATTACTTGTTTCCTGCAAAGCTGTGATGAATTAGACTGCAGCTTCAGCTCATTCTCCTACCAGGACCCAGGAGACTTTAGCTCCTACTTTGAGGGCTCGAGGCAGCTAGTCCGCTCAGGCCACACGCACTCTACTGTACCGCCAGATAATGCATCCTCTCCATCATCAAGTAAATTCATTTTCCAAAGCTTAGCAGTGCTGTGGGAGCTCAGGTCTACAGGCAGCAGCTGAGGAGATAGTAACTGTAAAAGCTGCACAGTGTGGGCCTTTTGCATGCAACTACAGTTCCAGGGTCAGAAGTGGAACCAGGTTTTTGTAATAAAGGAGAACAGTTCAGTTTGGTCATCTTGTAATAATAGTTACAGTAAAACATATTACAAAAAAATACTATTATAGAAATTAATACAGAAAAAAGAAGTAATAGGACACATTTTCCTCTTTTCACTACATTTATGTAGATCTTGTATGGGGCACCAGATCTGTTTAATGACCAGTACCAACTGAGCAAACCTTATAAGAGTTCAGTCTACTGTATATGTTACCTAATTTATTCACCCTTTTAACAATCAGAACTCAACCACCAAGGATGAATTTGTCTTTAAAAATGTATTACAAGTATAATCTAAAACAATGAATTCAAAACCTAATATTCCGAGTCAGGCCTTTCATGATTAAGCCTTGGAACAAGATCATGTAATGATATGAAATTATAACCTTATATTGACTATTTGCATGTGAYGTCACGCTCTTCACGTGCCGCCATGATGGATGCCAAAACAACCTATGAGCTTGTAAACTCCTGTACAGCTTATCAAAAAACAGACAGTTGGTAGACAGTGTGTCCTCACAATAAACCAAAACAACCCCCCCACACACACTTACACATCCTCCAAGCAATATTTAAAATAAAAAGCAAATATGTTCAACCTAATAATTGACTGTTGATGTCTGAATCAATTAATAAACAGACCTGAACTTTAACAACTAAATGTTTATCTTTTATTCTGAGCATGCTGTTGACGCGTTTTTTTAAATTTATTTATTTTCCCCCTGCTTCGCGTCGCTACAATTTTCCACGGGTTTGTGCTGTCAGAAAGAAAGATTACAAGTTTCTGAGAGCTAATAACGAGCACTTCACAGTCAACCTGCTGCTGCATTAAGCTGTGAAACAGCTCCTGTGTTTCTGCTCCACAGACACCACATGGACAGGTGAGCTCACAGCTCTCCTCCTCTCATGCAGGACAGATCTGCCTAAACTGGGATGGTTAAAAACTTTTTTTTCTTTTTATAAACGGCAGATATCCGTCTCGCTGAAAGAGAACTTTAAACCTTGTCCATTTTACTTGTTGGCTATGTCCAACTTTTGTAAATACAGCTGTCTATAGCCATGTTTACATCCTATTGTAGGGTAAATTTTGAGCAAATTTTTAAAATGTCAAAAAAAAAAACATTACATAAAACAAGAAATGCGAATTAGGTGACTCAACCAGGCTAAGTGTAATTATGTTAGATGTTGACGTTACACAAGGTTGTAATACACAGGAAGTAGAGGTGGAAAACTAGCAGGGGCCACACATCTTGGGACAATGGAGAGAGGTTTTCAGGAATGTGCTGCTATCAGGTAAGTTGTAATTGTTCTGTCATATCAACTATTGGCGATGTTACATGCTGTTTGGAGACAGAGAAAAATAAATGTAATTGTGTTTGCAGAATTGAAATATCCAGGAAGACGTGGACAGTGAGAACAGCTGATCAGTCATGGTAAATGTTTGATACGTCAGAACTTATTTGGCAAATGTGTTTTCATCTCTCCTTTTGCACATTTAAGTCTATTTTGGAAAATCTAAAAAACACCTAAAGTGAGCGTAAAAACGTTTTTGCATAACTGAGGACGTTTTTTTCCAATTTAGCTGTTTCCATCAGCCTTTTCTAATGCAATGCTTGAAAGCTTTGACGGAAACACGGCTTATGAGCTCCAACTAGGTGTGGTACTTCCACAGACAAATGAGCTTGACTTGAACAAGTAGAAGCCGTGGCTGTAATGGCAAAAACAACTTGGGAAAACAGTCGCAGTCAACACCCCTCTCCCTCATTTCCAACGTCCGTCATGGCGCCTCCATGAGGTGACATAGTTGCAAAGGGTCAACACCCACTTGGTCAAATTTTGTAATTAACAACAAGCAAAGTCACTGATGCTGTGAGCTCTTACTGCAGCTTTTGCAACACCAAACTTAAAGAGTAACTTACCCCAAAATTAACGTTTTTTAGCTGATAAACTGTCTAGAATGTGTC